GGGCCAAGACTCAGCCTGGGGTCAAAGCAGATGGCTGTGAGTGGCTAGTGTCGCTTGATGGAACCTCCATGGACAGGGCAAGTCTAGCTGCGAACGCCAAATGCCGGGGACAAGGAACGAGTTAGAGGGCCAAGACTCAGCCTGGGGTCAAAGCAGATGGCTGTGAGTGGCTTGTGTCGCTTGATGGAACCTCCATGGACGGGGCAAGTCTAGCTGCGAACGCCGAATGCCGGGGACGAGGAACGAGGAAGAGCTGTGACACTCCAACCCCGTTGTGGGCTTCCCAGGAGCACCTGGTTGGACGTGGGATGCTCTAGGAAAGGAAGGTGGGAGAGCTTGGTCTCAGCAATGAGGCCCTGCTTTTTCTAGAATCGGGCTAGAGAGATTCTCATCAAGGCAGGGAAAGGATCAGGGGTCGGAGCTGGCTCTGCTGTGAGAAGAAGGGTGGCAATACTTTCCTCCCTTGCCGTCCTGGTGACGATGCCCTTCGGTTGCCAGCCTAGGAGGTCTGGTTTTGGCCTCATAAACGGGCTTTTCCAAATACAGTAAGCCCTCTTGCTTTTGGCCTCAGGCAGCAAAATATTTCGGGACGGCCCTGTCCAACCTTAGCAGGCCAGTTGCCTTTGCCAGGTCAGATCTGTGGGCCAAGTTGAGACAAAATAAAAATGGGGAGTCCCTGGAAATGGATTTTGTTCGGGAGCTGGGGCTGAAGCTCCCATCCTCCACAGCCAGAAAGGATGGGAGTTGTAGTTCAACCCACCAGGAGCTTGTGGGGCTGGGGAAGATAGGATTTATGATGAGTGAAGTGTGGGATTTCGGAGCAAAGTTGCTGTGGCAGAGCTGTGAGAGGCGTCCCTTATTCCATCATCCTTCACTATCTTGAGGTGGATGTCAGCTGAGCTTGGCTTAAGGTGGTCCTCCTCCTTCCCTCTGTGGGGATCTTGAATCTCTAGATACTTGATAAGAGTTCAGGGCATGTAATATTCAGCATCCTTGGAAAAATACAGTATTTGGGGGGAGATATCACAGCACTGAATCGAATATGATCTTAAGATGTTGACACAGGCCAGCAGTGAAAATATCCATTTATAATCCTGGCCCATCAATGTCCTGGTGGGTGACCCTCTTAGGGGGTCCTTCTAGAAGTCTGTGCTGGTCTGGATCAGTCCATCTCGATCCAACGTCTTGAGGAGTTAGGGCTTCTTTCTCTCCACCTGGGGACAGATGGAGCCTCCGTAGGGGCCAGCCCCCCCGGGTATTTTCATTCAGGGGGGGCTATACCACATGCTACAGACTTTTCCTCCCACTTGGAATGTGGAGAGATGCTTTGAGTGAGGCAGATAGTTCATCCCCCATTTCATAGTGGTTGTGGGGGGGTCCCCCCAAAAAAGGCATGAGAGGTCCAGATTCCAGACGGGGCCTCTGGCATCTCCCCACTGCCTGATTTTGTGGGGTGGTGGATCGTAATCTGGGTCTCTTTCTGCTTCCTCGTTCAATCCCCCTGCCCTAACCCTCCCTTTCTTCCCTCCTTTGCGCACAATTTAGAAAAGACTGTTGCACACAAGTGAATGTGGAGAACGGGGAGGGGGGACCTCCCCACAAAGGGGTGGGTGCGTGCGTGTATGGGGGGGGTAATATTGAGATTGGTCATGTTGATGTCGACATTAAAAAAAAATAACTTTGTGGAGTCCCCTGACTTGTGGGGGCAATAAAGATCTTTGAAAATGCATCAGGGCTTCTCATCATCTCCTGGAGAGGTGGGAGGGCCAGGCGGGAGGTTCGAACAAACATGGGGTTAAGGATTTTTCAATAGGATGCAAAAAAAGCCCACAACCCAACAAAACAAAATTTATTTATAAGTTAAATAAATAAATAAAACACACACACAATTTGAAATCTACGGGAACTCTCCATGGTGCTGAAATCCTGCCCTCCCCCAGAGATATCCGGGAAGTCTCCGTTCACTTTCAGACGAACATTTTTATCCCGTTACAGCTGCTTTGATTAAACCTGGCCCATCCGGTGTAGCAGCTTTCAGCTCTGCCCAGAGCAGGTCTTTGAGATGGCTAACGGATCTTGAGTGCTCATTCATGGCACCGGGAAAAGGTTGGCCTTAACAGTCGAGATGGATCCTTCAGAACAATTTGCTGGGGAAACTCATAAACGTGTTGTGAGGATTAGAGTGAAAGTTTGCACGAGGTGGCCATGGCAGATGATAACCTTTTCCTGCTAATCCAGGTGTTTTGAGCCCTGACATTGTGGGACACACAAAGCTTAGATGAGAGGATCTTTCTTCCTCGTTGCAACATCTGGGGACCGTCTGTGCAGCTCTGCCTGTCTGCTGGGTTTCTTTTGCCTTGAAATCAAACCAAGGCTCCAGACCTCATGTTTCTGAATGTTTGGTTCATAAAACAGAAACCTCATTGGAATTTAGTGGCTCTGTTGTGAGCAAAGGGGCTGATTTGGGTTTTGGCCTGAACTTTACAGGCCCTGTCCAACAGGTTGAGCCCTATTTTCCTCAAGTTAGGTTTAGCACCTTGGATAGTGACCTTTAAAGTTCAGACTAAAATCCGCAATGGGTTACTGATATCGGAGCCATCGGATTGGGCTGTAGGAAATGCCTGGACATTTGGGTCAGTTGCCGATCTGTCTAGTTAAGGATTGCCTGCGTTGTCTAGTTAAAGGGTTCTCTGCCTTAAAAAGTTTCTTTTCAGCCCTCCTTGACATTCTGGGAGCTGAAGGCAGGATTTGCATTGCCTTTGCAAACCGAAAATTTTAATCACAAACTGGGCGAAACCTTTTCACTCTCCCCATCACCATTCATAAATGGAAAAGGCCCGGATAAAGGATAAGCGGGGCATTGTTGACATGTGGAACTCCTTGCCACAGGATGTGGTGAGGGCATTCTGACCTAGATGGCTTTAAAAGGGGACGGGACAGATTCCCGGGGGAAAAGTCCATTGCAGGTTGCAAGCCATGATGGGGACGTATCATCTCCAGGCTTAGAAGGAAGGGACCTCAAAATGCCAAATACAGGGGAGGTAGATCAGGAGACAGGTATCTAGTTGTCTCATGTGCTCCGAGAGGCATCTGATGAGGCCACTTGTGAGATACAGGAAGCTGGATTAGATGGGCCCCTGGCCTGATCCAGCACGGCTCCCCTTATGTTCTTATAACATGATGGCCTCTCAGACCCATGAGCCCTGCTCAATACAGGCAGTGTTTCAGGACAATGGGAGCAGTAGTCCAAAGAGAGCAGACATGTAGATCAATTATGCCGCTGTTAGTTTTATCCACAAAGGCTACAGGCCCTCCAAGCTGTATACCTGAAAACACACATACACATGTTAGCCAAAACGGGATAAAAAAAACAGCCACGTTCATGGACACCCGTCTTAATTCCTTCAGAAACTCAAGTTGCTCAGCTTGTAACCAGAAATCGGGAAGTATATGTTTCCGGACTAAAACTGGTCGTGCTGGCTCAGGGATCATGGGAGTTGTAGTCCTGAACAGTCATTCCCCCCCCGCCCCAATTTCTGCTCCAGGCTGGTGTGAAAGAACTTATGAAGAGTCATCAGAACAAAGTGGATTGAAAATCTTATCTCCGTGATATCGTATTTTAAAACAAGAAACAAAGAGCACTTCGGAACAACGCCGGGCAGCGGGTTCGAGGGGACGCAGTTGCGCGTCGCGTGGCCATTTTCGCATTCTGCTGCCATGGCTGTGGTGTTCCCGGCAGCTGTAGGGAAGCGCGGCCTTGGCAGTGAGCAGATGGGAGTCGATTGTCTGGAAGTAAGTCGCTTCTCCTCGGGTGGTGGCTGCAAGGGAGCCTGCCGTCCGACCATCCGTGTACGCCTCAGAGCATCCTCGGTCCTTCGAGCGTCACCATGGAGATGGTTGTGGAGTGACGGGGTTGCCGAGCGACCGTTGGGAGGCAGGGATGGGCCTCTTCCAATCAAACTGCTTCCTTCCTTGCAGCCGAGGAGGCCCCGATTCCATGACACCCCCCATCCCACCCTACAGATTTGGGGGTCCCCCCCCACGTCACACATTTCTTAGGAAACTCTTATTCCAAATGAGATCCTAGGGTCATCTATGATAGCCACTGATTGATAGCTGCTTCTCTGACTTCGGAGCAAGTCCGGGGAATTGAACCTGTGGCCCATGCGCCGTGCAGTGTGATTTTGCAATGAGTTACATCACCTGTCCTTTGTTTAATTCAACTCTTGCTATGCTAGTCAAAACAAGAAGAGTGAATCACTCAATGGTCAAATACCAACACAGTGGATTACATAGAGGCTGGATAAGCATTAAGATCCACATTAAAATCATCACCTCTGCATTCGTGCAAATGCAGGCATCTAGTCTCATTTAAAAAACAACATTTTCAAAGACATCCACTTGTTTATCCTCCTGTTTAATGCAAAAAGTAGCAAATTTTGGAAGAATTTTAATGGGAAGGGCTTAAATCAAACACGTTATCCCTTGTAAGATGTTGGCCCGAATCCTACCGCACAAGTTATACTTATGGACAGTTGACGGTGTCATCAGGAGTGGGAGATTTTTGGTAATTAAAGAACTCCCACTTCGGTCCCAAGGCTTCTCAGACTTGCCAGCAATCTGTTTCATTGCGTGGAATCAATTGGAGCCATGGGACAGAATGAGGAAGTCTTTTAATTACTGAAAATCTCTCCCTACGAGTAATATCATCGGATGGCAAATTTTGATAATGAAAGACTTCCTCCTTCTGTGGCACAGCTCCCACACAACAAACTAAATACTCATGAGTCAGAAAAAAATGCATGTCAGAAGCAGGAGCTCTTTGATTTTACCTGCTGGCAAAATTATCACTCTCTTGCAGGTGTAATTTATACGACAGGATTCTAGCTAGAATTTCTGCTCCATGAACTCATTAACTTTTGAAATAACTAGGAATGTTATATCAATAAAGTAACCTCATTCCT